CATTGACAGAGCTCCAAAACTATCAGATCAAAAGCTAGAAGTTCTGCCTTGTTGTTGACAAGCATCCAAATGTTTGAAAACATGGGGAAAATAGACTGACCTTTCCCCTCCTTCATCCTGTTGTTTTGGCTTTGGGCAGGAAGTGCTTTTGTATCCTATTTCAGGACTTGAGGTCTGACCTAGAGATATGGCTCCTACCAACAGAAGAGGAGTTAGAGGGGATGAATGAACAGGGAGGCAGGAGGGAAGAGCGAATCAAAAAGCAATGATCACTTAGTGGTAACAGAAAATCCAGCTCAAGCTGGCTGAGGCAACACGAATCTGAAAAGTCCACCGACTTCAGGTATGGCTGGATCCAGGGGCTCAACAGGATCAGGACCAGTCTCTCTCTGTCTCTTTGTTGTGAATCTTTATATAGGAAGGCTCTTCCCTGGCTGTGGCACCAGCACCAGCAATGCCAGGCTTAATCTTGTTCTTTCTTAATACCAGTGGGAAGAAGATGCTCTATTTCTCTGGCCATCCCATGGACTTAAATTGCTCCTGATTCTCCTTTGTCTCAATGGGGTCACATGACCATGCTCAAGGCAGTCACTGGGGGGCCGCCCCCCCCCGGAGATAAAGACTAGCATAGGCCTTGTCTGCATGCCTCTTCCTCGAGCTGTCTGTCGCCTCAGAAAATACAGAAACCGCCAAGTGCCTAGATGGGGCTTCAGCTCCATTTCAAACAGTGACAATGCTATGAAGAAAAATAAAGGAATAGAATAAAGAAAAAGAAAATCGTTTTAATGCCGCTGGTACCCCTTTCCCTGTTCTTGAGGCTTTTGGGGGTTTAAAGAGTCAATGCCTTCAGCTTTTAGATTTATAGCCTGGAAATTCCCTCTGTCTGAAGTCAGGGATTTCCAGATCAACATTCCAAGGGTAGGGAAAAGAGGTTCATTTTCACACTCTGGGGGGCTTCAGGGTCCTGAGCTTCCCAGGGTTCAAGGGAAGCAGTGCCCTTCCTGGGTCAGAATTCTCCCACTTAACTTTGTTTTTAAAGTTTATTTATTTATTTTGAGAGAGAGAGAGAGAGAGAGCATGTAGGAGGGGCAGAGAGAGAGAGAGAGAGGGAGAGAGAGAATCCCGAGCAGGCCCCGCCCTGCCAGCACAGAGCCCGACGCGAGGCTCAAACCCACAAACGGCAAGATCATGACCTGAGCTGAAAGCACGAGGCAGACGCTTAACCGAGCCACTCAGGTGCCCCAGGATTCTTCCACTTAACATTTATTCATCAAGTGCTGCTCTGCTTCAGGCAGAATTCACTGTGGCGCCGGAGCCCTCGCAGAGTTGACTCTCTGAGATGCCACACACGACAAAGGAACAGCCGTGTGTCACGTGTCTGGTGGTGAGAGAGGCTACGGCGAGAGAGAAAACAGGGTGAGGCAGACAGAGGTCACAGGGCGGTCAAGGACACCCTCTCTGCGGAGAAGACATTTAAGCAAGGACTGAAGGACTTGAGGGATGAAGTCATGCAGCTTTCCAGGGGGGGAACAGATTCCTAGGCGGAAGGAAGGGCCAGATGCAAGGCCTTGAGGCAAGACAATGCCTGCACGTTTGCAGGACTGGCCAGGAGGCTGGCGTGGCTGGAACAGAGTGAGGAAGGGAAGAACGGTAGGAGGTAAGATCAGAGAGCCAGTGGGGGGACAGATCACGCCCTGGTAGGCCATGGTGACAATTTTGGCTTTGACCCTGAGTTAGATCGGAAGCCACTGGACACCGTGGACAGAGCTATGACATAATATTATTTCGAGTTTACTGGGAAACAAACAGTTGAAGGAATATTCTGACAGCTGTGTGGAGAACGGACCATAGTAAGCAAGGCTGGAAGCAGCGGGGAGGACAAGGTACCTCCTGCAATGATGTAAGAGGTATGAGATGATGCTGGCCCGGACCAGGGTTGCGGCAGGGGTGAGGAGTGGCCAGATTCCGGACGTGCGGCATGACAACGAATGAACGAGAGAGCCGTGTGTACCTTGATGGGTCACAATGATTGTGCTGTTCGTAAGTATTTAGGAGGACATTCGTAGACTTCCAGCCAATCAGCATCCGGCTCCCCCTTCCTGCTAGTAGAACCCCAAGCCCCCTGTGTAGGAACTCACTTGGCATCTTCTAGGAATGCCTGGCACCCTTGTAAATGAAGCCAAGAGGGCCTGATCCTTCCACCCTCTGTCCCATAGCACAGAGATGGGCCCAGGACTTAAGCTCAGCCAATGGACTCTCTAAGGACACAGAGAATGGGAAAGGGGGCTGGAAACCCCACATCCATCACAGAGGAAGCATATGAACTTGACCTATCCTTATCCAGCATAACCTTAGCTGTAGTTTCTGCTATCCGGCTTCCCTCCAGACAAGGCCAGCAGCGCGTTGTACAGTTTGGGGAGGCGGGAGGAGGCACCATGTCATTCTATTCTGTTAGTCTATGGCAGCGAACTTTTGGGGTAGATATTTTAGGCTTTTGCAGGTCGCCGTAGTCTCTGCGAAACTACTCCGTTTTGCTGCCACAGGGCAGAGGCAGCCACAGACAACATGTCAATGTATGAGTACTCTCGGGGCAGTCACTTTCTCTGCAGTCCTGCTAGGAGAAACCAGCGACGGTATAAGAAAGAGGTAGTTCCGAAAAAACTTAATTTGCAAAAGCACATGGCGGGCAAGAATTGACCAGCGGGCCATAGTTTGCTGACTCCCGGTCCACAGGAATAGTGCCTTTTGTCCCAGGAATTGTACAAATGTGGCTGATGGGCTTTCAGAGATCCCTTCGTTCCCGCTGATTTTCCAAGCTGGCCCCACGGTTTCCTCTTGGTTCCGCGAACCCCCATATCCTTTGTCGCAGTCAACTCAGGCCGCCATCGTGAAATATCACAGAGTGGGGGGGCGTAAACAACAGATATTTATCTCTCACAGTTCTAGAGGCTGGGGAATCAGGATCAAAATGCCAGCCAGGTGGGCTGCATTCTAAGGCCTCTTCTGGAGGTGGCTGGCACCTCGCTATGTGTTCACGTGAACTCGTCTTTGTGCGTGCTGTGAGTGGGAGGGAGGGCTAGGTCCCTGGCGTCTCTTATAAGGGCACTAATCGTGTCATGAGAGCCCCACCCTCACGACGTCATCTAACCCTAATTACCTCCCAAATGCCACATCTCTAAATACCATCACACTGGGGGACAGGGCTTCCACATACAAATTCGGGGGAAACACAAGCATTCAGTCCATAACATCCTTCTAGTGTATTCTGGTTTCCGCTGAAGCTAGAATCGGTTTCTGTGGCTTGCAACCAAAAAGCCTAATTGATGCAGCACTTACTCAGTTTGATTTAATTCCGTAGCAAAGGGGATAGCTCAAAGTCCCTCACTCCCACTGCTGGAGAAACCACTCGAAGCAGATTATGACTAACAGGACAGGAGTCATTAGTGTTGTCTTGATTTATGATACATCTGCGTGTTTAAAAGTTTCCTCACTGCATAGTTTCAGCTTCCTACCTCTTTCTTAGAAGGTTGCTGGTTTCTTCAATCAAGGCTGCCCCCAGGCCGAGCTGGTTCAGGAACCCAGCCTTCCTCCCCACCCCCTCCCCCCTACTGCCCCCCCCCATCAGCTGCTTGGCTGTTAGAGCTTCTGCTTCCTGTTTACAAAGAGATATGAAATATACTAGTTAAAGAGTCCACCCCTAATGCTTTGCTACTTCCTTCTGCCTCATAGGATGAATTTCACTTGGCCTTGGTGTTTTATTTGTTTTTGGAAGTCATGGACTTGATGATGTTTGGAAATTTATGACTGTATAAGACCATATCTGTAAGGTGTTCAGTTCACATTCGTCATTTCTATTTTATTTATTTGTCTACTCCAACCGTGGTCCAAAGAGGATTTACGAAATGTGTCTTGTGCAAAAGATTTAAAAAAAAAAAAATTCAGTGATGAAGCTGGGCCAAGCAAAAATTAGGGGAGGGAATAAGTCAGATGAAATAAGAGAGAAAATAAAACACAAAGTTGCCCCAATGCATTATTTCCTAAAGTTCCGGGTAGAGGGCGCCTGGCTGGCTTAAGTAGGTAGAATGTGACTCTTGATCTCAGGGTCATGAGTTTGAGCCCCAGGTTGGGCATGGAGCCTACTTTAAAGTAAGTAAATAAATAAATTAAAAAAAAAATAAAGTTCCAGGTAGAAGTTAGAGATGTACGGCAAATCTTGCTCTGAGCTTCCTAGTCCGCAAAACAAATAAGGAAATACTTTTGACGTGCTTTTAAGATTGAAAACAAACTAATTACCCAGACAGCGTGGCCGGTCCCAATTCTTTACACAATAAAGGGTAGTTGAATAGCTGCATTTTTTTTTTTTTTGACTCAGAAAACTGAAACTTGTTTAATCCCAGCAAATGCTGTGTGCTTTTGATGTCCTTAAGAAAACTCAAGAAACGTAAACTTCACTTTTCAAACCTGATAAATTGGAGTTGGCTGCTCTCACTGCAACATAATCGTTTTTTTTTCCTCAAACAGTCCCTTTAAGACACTTAAAAGATACTTACTATTTAAAACTTAAACAGTAATAACATGACATGTTTAAGTATTTGCTTACAGACAGATTTCTATAGGGTCTGGTGGGACCTGAAAAGCCTTCCAGTTCAATGTGGAAAGATCATGAACATTTTTTGAAATTCTGCTAAAAATCACGTATCATTAAATGTATCATCTTAATCTTTTATTATTATTATTATTATTATTATTTTAGAGAGCGAGAGAAGGTGCACACAGGAGAGGGGCAGAGGGGGAGAGAGAGAGAGAGAGAAAGATAGACAGAGAGAGAGAATCCCAAGCAGGCTCCACACTCAGCACAGAGCCCAACATGGGGCTCGATCCCACAACCCTGGGATCGTGACCTGAGCCGAAATCATGAGTGGGATGCTCACTGACTGAGCCACCCAGGCGCCCCTCATCTTAATCATTTTGTACAGTTCAGTAGCATTAAGTATATTCACAGTGTTGTGCAACAGATCTCTAGAACGTTTTCATCTCACCGTTCCCCCAGCCCCTGGCAGCTAGCATTCTACTTTCTGTTTCTATCAGTTTGGGTACCCTAGGTACCTCACCTAAGTGGAATCATACCGTATTTATCTTTCTGTGGCCGGCTTATTCCACTTAGCATAATGTCTCAGGTCCATCCACGATAGCACTGACAGGATTTCCTTCCTTTTTAAGGCTGAATAATAGTCCATTGTGTGTATCACCACATCTTCTTTTTTTAAATTTTTTTTAAGTTTATTTATTTATTTTGAGAGAGAGAGAGAGAGAGAGAGAGAGCACGCGCGCGCATGCGAGTGCGAGTTGGGGGAAGGGCAGAGAGGGAGAGGGAGAGAGAGAATCTGCAAAGCCTGACATGGGGCTCGAACTCCCGAATAGTGACATCATGACCTGAGCTGACGTCGAGAGCTAGACGCTTAACCAGCTGAGCCACGCAGATGCCCCTACCACATTTTCTGTATCCATTCATTTGTCTGTGGATATTTGGATTGGTTCCACAACCCTAGTCGTGAATAATGCTGCCATAAACATAGGTGTGCAAATATCTCTTTGAGATCTCGCTTTCAGTTCTTGGGGGGTAAATACCTAACACTGGAATTGCTGGTTCACTGGTTCACTGGTAATTCTGTTTTTAATGTCTTGAGGAGCCTGCACACTGCTTTCCATTTAAAATGGGAAATTTTTATTTTAAATTCCCACCAACAGTGCACAAGCGTTTCAGTCTCTCCACATCCTCACCAATGCTTGTTCTCTGTAACATCATTAACTTTGGAGGAGCAAGGGAACAGAGACTCAGGATTTTGTGTCTGATGACAGAGTGCCTTAGCACACTGGCATACCAAGAACCCTTCCAAGGTGTCCTTTAATTGTGAATATGAAACATTTTTAGGGGCGCCTGACGGGCTCAGTCAGTAGAGCACGTGACTCTTGATCTCGGGGTTGTGAGTTCAAGTCCAACACTGGGTGTGGAGATTAAAAATACAATCTTTCAAAAAATAATAAATGTTCTGGGGCACCTGGGTGGCTCAGTCAGTTAAGCATCCAACCTCGGCTCAGGTCATGATTTTTTGGTTTGTGAGTTCAAGCCCCTCATTGGGCTCTGAGCTGACAGTGCAGACAGAGCCTGCTTGGGATTCTCTCTCTCCCTCCTGTCTCTCCCTCTCTCTGCCTCTATCCTCCCCATGCTCTCTATCTCTCTCTCTCTCAAACCTTAAAAAAATTGCTTTTAATTTTTTTTACATTTATTTATTTTTGAGAGACAGAGAGAGACAGAGCACAAGTGGGGGAGGGACAGAAAGAGAAGGAGACACAGAATCTGAAGCAGGCTCCAGCTTCTGAGCTGTCAGCACAGAGCCTGACGCGGGGCTCGAACCCACAAACCTTGAGATCATGACCTGAGCCGAAGTCGGATGCTTAACTGACTGAGCCACCCAGGCACCCCCAAAAAATTTAAAAGAAAATAAACATTTTTAGCAAAAGAATACACTCATGGAATACAAAGTAAATGGTATAAAACATACAGATTGGGAAGGAAGAGATAAAACTCACTTTGTTCCCAGATGGCATGATTGTGTATGTAGAAAATCCCAAAGCATCAACAAAAGCCTTGTGGAACTAAAAAGCAATTGCAGCTGGGAATGCAAGCTGATGCAACCACTCTGGAAAACAGTGTGGAGGTTCCTCAAAAACCTAAAAGGACAACTACCCCACAACCCAGCAATGGCACTTAGGCATTTATCCACGAGATACAGGTGTGCTGTTTTGAAGGGACACATGCACCCCCATGTTTATAGCAGCACTATCAACAATAGCCAAAGGATGGAAAGAGCCCAAATGTCCACTGATGGACGAATGGATAAAGAAGATGTGGGAGATACATACAATGGAGTATTACTCGTCAGTCAAAAAGAATGAAATCTTGCCATTTGCAACTACGTGGATGGAACTGGAGGGTATGATGCTAAGTGAAATTAGTCAGAGAAAGACAAGTTATCATATGACTTCACTCATGAGGACTTTAAGAGTCAAAACAGATGAACCTAAGGGAAGGGAAGCAAAAATAATAAAACCAGGGAGGGAGACAAAACATAAGAGACTCTTAAATATAGAGAATAAACAGACGATTGCTGGAGGGGTTGTGGGAGGGGGGATGGGCTAAATGGGTAAGGGGCACTAAGGAATCTACTCCTGAAATCATTGTTGCACTATATGCTAACTATTTTGGATGTAAATTTAAAAAAAGAAAAAAAAAAAAAACAAACAGCCGCATCTTAAACTCAACAAGTTGTGCACATTTACTCTGTATAGCTTTTTGTACGTCAATCATTCATCAATAAAGTGGTTTAAAAAAATTAAAAAATTGAGGGTGTGCCTGGGTGGCTCAGTCGGTCGAGCATCCGACTTCAGCTCAGGTCATGACCTCATGGTTCGTGGGTTCAAGCCCCGCATCGGGCTCTGGGCTGACAGCTCAGAGCCTGCAACCTGCTTCAGATTCTGTGTCTCCCTCTTTCTCTGCCCCTCTCGTGCTCATGCTCTGCCTCTCTCTCTTACAAATAAACATTACATTTTTTTTAATTTAAAAATTAAAAAAAAGCAATTACAGCCAGGCATATAGGATACAAGTTAATACATAAACACCAATCACCTTCCTACATGCTAGCAAAGAACAAGTGGAATTTGAAATTTAAAACAATATTGTTTACACTAGCACCCCCAAAATTAAACACTTAGGTATAATATCTAACAAAATATATGCAAGATCTATGTGAGGAAAATGACAAAACTCTGATGAAGGAAATCAAAGAGCGACTAAATAAAAGGAGAGATAGTCTCTGTTCGTGGATAAGAAAACTCAGTATTGTTAAGATATTCTCAACTGGGTCCGTAGATTCAGTTCAATCTCAGTCAAAATGCAAGCCAGTTACTTTCTGGATATTGACAAACTGAGTTTATGTGAACAAGCGAAAGATCTGGAATCGCCAGCACAGCATTAAAGAAGAACAAAGTCGCTGGGGCACGGGGGTGGCTCAGTTGAACGTCTGACTTTGGCTCACTTCATGATCTTGCAGTTTGTGAGTTTGGACCCCACATCGGGCTCACTGCTGTCAGCACAGAGCCCACTTCGGATCCTCAGATCCTTGGTCCCTCCCCTGCAGGCACTCTCTCTCTTAAAAATAAATAAAAAACATTAAACAAAGGAGAACACAGTCAGACGATTGACATTACCCAACTGCCAAGACTTACTCTAAAGATACAGTCATTGAGACAGTGTGGTATTGATGGAAGAATAAACAGATCAATGGAACAGAACAGAGAGCTCAGAATTAGACCCACGTGAATATAGTCAACTGATCTTTTATGAAGGAACAAAGGCAAATTAAATGCGAAAAGGATAATCTTTTCAACAAATGGTGCTGAAGCAATGAAAAGGATTCTAGGGGCCCCTGGCTGGCTCAGTCAGTGGAACGTGAAACTCTTGACCTCGGGGTTGTGAGTTCGAGCCCTGTATTGGGCTCCACGCTGAGCGTGGAGCCCACTTAAACAAACAAACACACTCAACGATCCAGAAAACAAACAACCCGGTGAAAAAGGGGGCCAAAGATCTGCACCGACGTCTTTCCAGAGAAGATGTGGTTGTGGCAAATAAGTAGATGAAATGAGGCTCAATCTCACACGTCATTGGGGAATTTCAAATTACGACCACAATGAGATGCCACTATACACTTATCAAAATAGCTAAAGTCCACAACGATGACAACACCATATGCTGATGCGGAAGTGGGGCATCAGGAAGAAGTCCCATTCATTGCTGGGGGGGTGGAGTTCAAAACGTACAGCCATTTTGGAAGACGGTCTGGCACTTTCTTACAAAGCTAAACATCATGTTACCATAAGATTCAGCAACGATTTTTTTCTACAGTTGCGTTTGTATTTACCCAAATGAGTTGAAAACTTATGTCTGCATAAAAACCTACACATGGATGTTTATAGCAGCTCTCCTCATAATTGCCCCAAATTAGAAACAACCAAGATGTCTTGCAATAGGTGAATGGATATAAACAAACAGCGGTACATCCAAACAATGGAATATATTATCCAACGCTTAAAAGGAAATGAGCTATCCAGGCACGAAAACACATAGAGGAAGCTTACATGTGTATTGCTAAGTGGAACAAGCCAGTCTGAAAAGGCTTCATACTAAGTCATCCCAACTGTATGACATTCCAGAAAAGGCAAAATTATGGAGGCAGAAAGAGGATCAGTGGTTGCAAGATATTAAAAATTGAGGCAATTGGGGTGCCTGGGTGGCTCAGACGGTTAAGCATCCGACTGTTGATTTTGGCTCAGGTCATGATCTCATGGTCAGGAGTTCGAGCCCCATGTGGGGCTCCAGGCTGACAGTGCAGAGCTTGCTTGGGATTCTCTCTCTTTCTCTCTCTCTCTCTCTCTCTCTCTCGCTAACCCTACCCCCCTCCAAATAAATACACTTAAAAAAGTTTTGAGGAAATTGTGCTCACTTCAGCAGCACATATACTAAAATTGGAACAACACAGAGAAGATTAGCATGTCACCGTGCAAGGCTGATGCACAAATTCATGAAGTGTTGCATATTTTTAAAAATTTGAGAAAATTAGGTGTATAGTGAGGGACGAGGATATATGGAAAAACTCTCTGCACTTCTGATCGATTTTTCTGGTTACCTAAAACTTCTCTAAATAATAAAGTCTATTAACTTTTAAAGATTCACTGCTCTTGGGGCGCCTCAATTGCTCAGTCGGTTAAACGTCCAGCTTCCACTCAGGTCATGATTTCATGGCTTCTGAGTTCGAGCCCTGTGTCGGGCTCTTCGGATTCTGTGTCTTCCTCTCTCTCTGTCCCTTCCCCACTCACACTCTGTTTCTCACTCTCTCTCAAAAATAAATAAAACATTAAAAAAAATAAATAAAAGAAAAAGTAACAGGTGTTGAAGTAGACAGTGCCGTGTGTCTTCCTG